GTTATGCCTATAGTACACACCTTGTATAAATGTGACGTATACACATAATACAAATATCTATATAGACACTTTGTAATAGTGTACTGTTGTGTCTACATTCTAGCATGAAATGAAGGTGTGCGCACGCGCGGATAGCCTCAGCGTAGATACACCGACCAAGTGTATCTTATGTGTCCTCTCTCCTTTCTCCTTTCTAGGAGTGGTTTGTGTTAGCAGCCATTATTGTTTTATCATTCCGAAGATCTATATACATGTTCTGTTTGTGTGTAGTTTAAAAGAGATTTTAAGGTAAGCACAAGTGTTTAATTACCTTGTTACACCTTCCTAAGAGTATTATTAATATTATAGCAGCGACTCTTCCCTTACTCGATACCTAATTTGCCAAATTTTGACTCCAATGAATGAAAACTCCAAATATTCTCGTATAATGATAAAGAGGTTAGCTCTGCAATATGATTTTTTTTTAATTTGGAAATAATAAAAATCTAAATGAACCAGAGAAACAAAAATTTAAACACTTTAAAGAACTTCTTACACTGATATTCGGTAAGTTATTGATGGATCAATATACAGATATGTTTAATATTCAATAATCAGTTTCATATAAAATTTAAGGGTGAGATTGTTAATCTGGAAATAAAATACAACGAAGTCCAACAGAGTGTTCGATGAAATGAGTATGCTAACAAACCAACTGCTTGGAGGGAAAAGAGGAGAAAAAAATGACTAAACGAGGTCCACCAAATCGTGGCGATATACCAGTGTTTACCATTATAGTATGTTGTTATACTAGGTACCTACTTATATTTTTAATACATTTTGATACAAATTCTGTTCTTTTACTGTGTTTTCTTTTGGAAAATACAAAGTTTTGCCTTCCTAATTTTCGTTCTAAAAAGATATAATTGGGATCATTGAATAAATAATTCTTAAAAAGAACGAAAAGTTAGGCATCAAAACTTGTATTATTTCCTAAATTCGTTCATAAGAAGTAGTTTTATTCATTCATCAATCGTTCATAAGAAGTAGTTTACAAGATGTATATACGAAGCAAAATACATACGTATATACGCGGTAGTCACAACTGCAATGTGTAAACAGAGTTTAAACGTCATACACAAGCACTGTGTGTCCTACGGCACACTGTGTATTCCTTACTTTGTGTATACGTAAATGCTATACTGTGGCTACATTGTGAGGCGGACGTTTAACCTTTGTGCATACGTGTTGAACTACAATGTGTAAACGTAGCATATTTACATCGGGGTAATTGTGTCACCCTGTGTCTGCATCTAATAATGTATACACATCGTAAATGTGATTTGATGTGCTGTATGGGTACGTTCTATTTTAATGTAGTAGCTTCGCGTGACACTTGCTAAATCTTAATACACCCTCGGTTTTGGTTCCCGAGTCCTTTTAATTTGAAATTCCCGCCCGTCTTTAATCAGTCCAATTAATGTACAAAGAAACCGCACCTTACGCGATCCGTATATGGAACGTGTAGTAAGCCTGTAGCGCGCGGTGATGTTAAATTGGATCAAGTAGGCGGGCGGGGGATGGCCCGAATCCACTCCGATTCTCGGTTCGAGTTGTCGCGCGCTCGTAATCCGAATCCGCGTGAATTATTCCCTTTATTCTACGGGAAATTAATGGGCGGGGTAGGATTGTTAGTCCTTTTTTTTCTTTAAAAATAGTAAGGGATCTATTTTTATGAGATCTCGCACCTGTTTGTAATCGAAGAACTGCGTAGCGAGACATGCCATTTTTATCTTTACTAATATATAAAATCCTTAAGTGACTGACATACTGATTAATCGCGATCCTGCTCAAACCACTCAACGTAAGAAGTTCAATTTTGGCATACAGGTTGATTCTAGGGTGTAGAGGTTCGATAAAAAGGGATTTTTCGAAATTCCAGTTCCAAGAGGGTGAAGCCACCCCTCAAATATTACAATATTTTTTATTTAAAAAACAGTCAAGTTTCCGAAAAAACGCTTAAACACGTATATTTTGTTTTGTTTTTTACATATTTTAAGATTTTTTAAAAATGTATACAGGGTGTTTCGAAAAATCTGGCCATTGATTAATCACGATCCTGCTTAAAGCGCTTGACGTAAAAAGCTGATTTTTGGAAAACAGACTGACTTTAGGGTGTAGAGGTTCGATAAGAAGGGATTTTTCGAAACTCGAATTCTAAGGGGGTGAAACTATCCCTCAAATATTAAAATATTTTTTATTTAAAAACCGGTGAGTTTTTCGGAAAAACTCTTAAACACGTATATTTTATTTTGTTGTTTTACATATTTTAAGATTTTTTATAAACTTATACAGGGTGTTTCATAAAATATGACCATTGAGTAATCGCGATTTTGCTGTATTGTCACTGGATTTCTGTACCATCGAATAGAAATAGAACTAAGCTAGTTGTAGCATTAAAAAGAGCATGAAAAATTATACTGGCCAAACTATTACTCATATAATAGACATTGATAATATTGTGTCAACTTTCGCCCATGCTAAAGCAAGGAAAAAAGAATTTTAATATGTCCATGTTCCTATTTACATTGATTATTTTAATTTAGTTAGTTTTGTTGTTGTTTTTTGTTTTGTTTTTATTTATTTTTGTATTTATTTGATATTTTATATCTTATATTCTATGTTGCAGTAATAAATAATACTATATAAAAATTAATTTGATAATGTTATTTCTATCCTAAAATATGGGGGGACCCGGTTTGGTTTGGTCTTTGCACACAGGCCCGTGAGTCTGTCGTTACGCCACTGGAGTCAATATATTAGTAATTGCTAACTATAATAAATGTAACAAGAAATGTTTGTTATAACGTCAGTTTACTTTTAATAAGCTAACAATATAGGAGATTAAATTATCTAAGAATCTTCTTAAATAACAATCCTTTATAATTCTGCAAGTTCTTACTTGGGTAGAAATAGAGCCGTAGCGTTGCGCCTTAATTAATTTATCACGAAACGCAAACATCGTTTCGCTGTTTAATAAAGCTGTTTCTCCCTCCGATTTAATTGGAAAATATCTCTATATTTCCGTAGAATTTTTCAGTCCCGCAGAGAGTCTCGCTGGTTTACATTCGAGCTACGATACTAACTTTAATTTATATTTGGTATAAAACTAAATTTGTAAAACCATACGAAGTTTTTTTATATTTTGCCAAATACTCGTTCGCGAGTAAGTAAAAACACTTCGAGAACGGATAACTTTAGCCGGTTTTGGTTCATCTCGGAACACTCAAACAATCGACTGACGTTTATTTTCGGGTTCATAAGGGTAAATCCAGGATTCATCACCACTGACAACATTGTAGATATTTTTTGAAGTTCCTGCTTTAAACCGATGCCGGTGTAGAGTTTTTTGATACCAACTGACTCTAATTGCTTACTGTTCTTCCGTCAACAGATTCAGATAATTCTTCATGTAAACTTTTCTTGTAGATTTTTTTGCAGTGACGAAACACCTAGAATGTTTTTGTTTGGCACACTATTTTTATAAAATTTACACCCCGTATATTAGCGAATCTTAGACGGTTGAGATATTCTCCATCTGTTATTAATTCTTTGTTGGTCTAGTCCATTTGACGGAAGATTTCTTCTAGATTTGCTGTAAACAGTTTCGGGATATACAGTCGTATTCATTTACCAGTTGGAAACTCTGGGGATATTTTATACAGGGTTGTTCACCACATACGACACGGAGTATTGTAGCTAAACGATGCGATTTTTACAAATTGTAAGTTTGGGGTTCGTTGAAGGACTATTAGAGCTACAATTTAAAAATATTTTTACAAGATACAGAGTGTCCCAAATAAATAAAAAATATCAAAGTTGTATTTTTTTAAATGGAACACCCTGTATATTATTACATTTTTAGTTTCCACGATTAAAATAAAGGTAAATTTGATTAAGGTTTATTATACTTAAACCTTACCGTTTTTGAAATATTTTCAATTTTCTGAAATTTCAGTAAAAATTTTAAAGCTTCATTTCTCCAAGGGTATCAATGTTTTTAATACTAAATATTTAATGAAGTTGATTTATTGATCAGTTATTGTGTTGCAATAATAAAAATAATACTACCTTATACAGAGTGTCTAAAAATTTATTTTAAATAATTATTAGCTTCAAACGGCAATAACTTCTTTAATTTAAATGGAATGCCCTGTATATTTTAGGAGAATCAGATGCACAATTAAATTGTGTATCAAATGGTATTATACCATTTTTTACCTATCCCTTCAAGTTTTCGTAGAAAATGCATTTTCTTATAATTTAGACCTCATTTATCAATATATCCATGGAATATTGACATTTTAGATTGTTTTTAAAGCAACAAATGTACAAAATGTACAGATTAATAATATTATCGTTTTTAGCAAAACATATAATAAATAAAAAATATAATATAATTTTCTCCTGTCCGCTTAACTTTTGCTTATGATATTGGCGAGAGTTTCTATATAAAAGAAGCCTCTTCTCAAAGTCTACAAAGGTTATGGCTAGAGGAAGTTCGTATTCATGGAATGTTCGTATTCGTGGAACTTCGTATATTAGTATCCCTACATTTTGTATACTTATATGGCAACATCCAAGTGTATTTTGTTCAAATAAGAGTGTCAACGGGGCTTTAGAAAAGATCGACACGACATAGTACCGAAGAAAACCATATCGTTGTCGTGTTTCTCTGCATAAAATTCCTACACCAACTTATCCCAAAACTTTCTGCAATTATATTCAGTTACAAGCTACACAATAGACAGCAAATTTGTACAGACCTAATCATCGTGCATGGTTCAGCCTAGAACTACTTTAAACTTTACAGAAAACTTCATTCTTCGGGCTTCAGAATAAAATAGAAAAAATAAAAAAGCTTGCACGAATTCTTACAAAAGGTTTAATGAAAGTTTTCACGCAGTCTGTTGTTAGCTTTCACCAAGAAAATACTAATTTTTCTCTGTTTTTCTTTTCAGAAAGATGCGGAAACCAGGACAACCTTAAAGAAGATCTATTTTGTGTGAAAAATTCGGGAAAATTTCAGAACAGGAAAAATAAATTCGTACAATTAATTTTGTTTAGTGAGTTTGGACGTTTTTTTTCTGAAAATTAATATCATACAGTTAAATCGCGAAATGAAATAAATGTGATATATAATGTAGTTAATTTCGTGAAGTAAATAAAAACAATTATTAGTGGAGAATGACGATGGATACTGATGAGGCTTCAGCCGCCGGGCCTAGTACTGCTCAGGATAGGTACGATTTTATCTTTTTTTAGAGTAACCGTCATCATGAAACATCCAAGTAAAAAATGTGTTTTAGTAACGTATAAGATACGCTACCGAAACACCTGAGTTAAACTGACGTATCCTAATTATTATTATTTTTGATAAGCTGTAAATAAAAGCAAAAGTGCAGCATAAAAAGATATACAGGGTGGTCCGAACTGTATTCCGGAAACTTCGGCAGCATATTTGGCAGATAAAAATAGGTAAAAAAGTTCGTATTAATGTATGTCCTAAAATGCTTAGTTTCGGAAATACAGGGTGTAGAAGTTTTATTTTTATTTCGATTTTTTCCAAATAATTTCTGATGTAACGTCAATATTTGGATGAAAACTGATATCTAGGAGTTTTTCGATATAATAAAATTTAATTTTGATGTTAATATGATTCCTACCTGTAGAGGACGCCACCTACATATTTTTTATCTGGTTTGAAGTAGTGATGGGATCACTCGAGTGAAAAATACTCGGTCATCCCAGTATTCTTATCCTCGGTATGTCTCGAGTATTTTTGTCGATCCTCGAGGATTACTCGGCACGCAACTAACATCGGGTGTAGTGTACCGTCCTCGCTGCGGGCGACGATACAGGCGATTTTACGATTTATGCTGAAACCTTTTATAGGACAGAGGATAACCGTTTAATCACTTGCTCGCATATCGCTCGCAATAATAGTCGGTTTTCAGAGTAGTAACCTGGCATTTTTGAACAGAAATACATTACTTATTTTTGTTTTCGAACCCACTACCTTGAAATTGGTAGACGAGAGCCTGTACCTCTACGACACCGGGCACCCTTAAACTTTAAAAAATAAATTATAAATAACTTCTACACTCTGTATATCCGAAACTACCCATACAGCACGTCCAAATGAAATTACGTTTCTACAAGGGAGACACATGAGAAACAAAACACGTTAAAGTGAACCTAAGTGTTCGTCTAGTTCTAACATATACATATGAGATACACGCAGGTTTATATTGATAGAATTGTGTGATACAGTGTTTACTAGTTATATACCATATACACTCAAGATTCTAAAGAGTTTTTTGTAACGTAACAAATAATTATTAAAATGATGAAATCTGACGTCGGTATATGAGACATACAATGTATAAGTCATATGTATGTGTGATACTTCGTATCATAGTTGTGCCTATAGTACACACCTTGTAAAAATGTGACGTATACACATAATATAAATATCTATATAGACATTTTGTAATAGTGTACTGGTTGTGTCTACATTCTAGCATGAAATGAAGGTGTGCGCACGCGCGGATAGCCTCAGCGTAGATACACCGACCAAGTGTATCTTATGTGTCCTCTCTCCTTTCTCCTTTCTAGGAGTGGTATGTGTTAGCAGCCATTATTGTTTTATCATTCGGAAGCTCTATATAAATGTTCTGTTTGTGTGTAGTTTAAAAGAGATTTTATAAGGTAAGCACAAGTTTTTAATTACCTTGTTACACCTTCCTAAGAGTATTATTAATATTATAGCAGCGACTCTTCCGTTACCCGATACCCAATTTACCAAATTTTGACTCAAATGAATGAAAACTCCAAATATTCTCGTATAATGATAAAAAGGTTAGCTCTGCAATATAATTTTTTTTAATTTGGAAATAATAAAAATCTTAAATGGACCAGAGAAAGATAGATTTAAACACTTCAAAGAATACACTGATTGATATTCGGTAAGTTATGGATGGATCAACATACAGATATGTTTAATATTCAATATTCAGTTTCATATAAAATTTAAGGGTGAGATTGTTAATCTGGAAATAAAATACAACAAAGTCCAACAGAGTGCTCGATGAATGAGCATGCTAACAAACCAAATGTTTGGAGGGAAAAGAGAAGAAAAAAAACCAAACCAAACTAAACGAGGTCCACCAAATCGTGGCTATATACCAGTGTTTACCATTTTAGTATGTTGTTATACTAGGTACTTATATTTTTAACACATTTTGACACAAATTCTGTTCTTTTACAGTGTTTTCTTACTTCTGGTTTCTGCAGTGTAAATAATTATTATTATTGTGTTATTTGCGCTATTGCGTTCCACGATATAAAGAAATATAAGAATTTTATTGTTTAATCACTTAATACATTTTATGGAAGAAAAATGACAATACTGCCAACAAAACATAACAAAAATGGAACAATTTTAAGGCTACTTCTCTTGAACTTACGATCGAGATACTTTTGGAAAATACAAGTTTTGCCTGCCTAATTTTCGTTCTAAAAAGATATAATTGGTATCATTGAATAAATATTTCTTAAAAAGAACGAAAAGTTAGGCATCAAAACTTGTATTATTTCCTAAATTCGTTCATAAGAAGTAGTTTTATCTAGCACAAGATGTATATACGAAGCAGAATACATACGTATACACGCGGTAGTCAAAACTGCAATGTGTAAACAGAGTTTAAACGTAATACACAAGCACTGTTTATCCTACGGCACACTGTGTATCCCGTACTTTGTGTATACGTAAATGCTATACTGTGGCTACATTGTGAGGCGGACGTTTAACCCTTGTGCATACTTGTTGAACTACAATGTGTAAACGTAGCACATTTACATCGGGGGAATTGTGTCACCCTGTGTCTACATCTAATAATGTAAACACATCGTGATTACATTATTAGATGATGATTTGATGTGCTGTATGGGTAAGCACTTTAGGACATACATTTATACGAATTTTTTTACTGATTTTTATCTGCAGAATAAGTTTGGACCACCCTGTATATATTCATTCTTCTATTTTCACTGTGCACTTCATTTCTCACTTCGTTTAAATTAGTACAAAAAATTCTGTGATTCTATTATGTCTAATATAGTATTTTGTACTTGATTGTAGGGAACCGACAGCTCCGGAACCAAAACCGACAGTTCCTGAGTCAAATATCAGCACTCAAAGGTAAATATATTTAATCAGTCTTGTTACTTTGTGTTTTAAATATTTTTTCAAATTCTATTCGAGTAAAAAATGACTTTTTGTGCCTCTCCTGTAATGTAAAACGTACAGGGTGAAGGACGAAAACTAATATCGGTGTCTGGAGCTCAATTTTTATCAAAAACATGATGGTGAAAACCGCACATCGATATCTATTACCGTTTCGTAGTTACGGGGTGTTTTTCAAAAATGTGCATTTTTAACAAATCGCTGTAACTTTTTTACCATAGAAAATTTTCTATTTTTATGAAAACATTTCCAAAGTACCTTTTTAAGAGAATTTAATGGTTTAAGTAAAAAAAAATTAAAATTAATAATTTAAGAGTTATCAACAGAAAAATTGATTTTTTATTTGGGACGCCCGGTATATTTTTAATTAAATGAAAAAAAACTTAAAGTCACCTTTCTAAAAATATAGCACACTTTATAATTCCCTTCGAAATACAGATTTTTAAAAAGTTCGCCACTTTTAACTAGTAGGCTTTGGACCCCTTATTGATCATCTGCCCCTAATGGAACTCGAAAATATATTTTCCAGCAAGACGAGGCACCGCCTCAGAACTGTGAAGTTATCAGCTAACTTTTGCAGCCAATTTCAAGAATAATTGATTAGCTAACCAAGATCCCATCCGTTGGACGTCGAGGCCGCCAGACTTAGTGCCTATGGATTTTTATCTTTGCGAAAGAATAAAGGTTATTATTGTTAAAGTGCCTGTATAAACTAGACAAACATTAAAAGTTCTTAGCGTTTATGCGAGGGTATCTTTCACCCCCATGGAGTTAAAGAATTCCGCGAGAAATGTTCAAAAATTGCTTTAAAATTGCAAATATTATTTTCGTTTTAATTATTGCTCACAGCTACAATCTTTTTGCATTACAGCCAGCGCACTTCAAGCCTACTTATTCAAAGTGGGCGAAATTATAAAAACTCTATATTTCTAAGAGGAATCGAGCAAAATATCAAGTACCTATGTTATATTTTTGGAAAGGTAATTTTAAATTCTTGTGGGAGAGGGGGGGGGGGGTGTCATATAAAAAATCAAATTTTCACTTATAATATCACAAGAGCTTAAATTATTTTCGGAAATTTTTTTGAGGGCACGAATATTTTGAAAATTATCCCGAGTCGAAGACGAGGGATAATTTTCCTAAAATATTATGTGTTTTGTCATTTTTGTTTGCGATTCTGTCATTAAGCTATTACTAGTTTTAAAACGTCTGTACGTAGAGTAAGAAGTGTATAGCGAAATGTCGCGATTTGGAAAAGTAAACCAACAAGTCATTAAAGAAGAAATTGAAAATATAAAACCAGATAACACCCGAAAATCAAAATCAAGTGTATGGAAACAGTTTGTTGAATTTTGTGATGAAAAGTAATAATTACAAAAAATTTCCACTAAAGTTTCGTGGCGCCTCGAAAAAATTTCCGGAAATTTTTTCAGTTGCCATGGTAACTAGTCAACATTAAAGCATGTTATTGGTTGAAAAGTAGAGGTGTGAAATTTTCTGTTGATAATTCTTAAATTATTAATTTTAAAAAAATTATACTTAAACCATTAAACTCTACGTAAAAAGGTGCTTTGGAAATGTTTTCATAAAAATTCAAAATTTTTCATAGCGAAAAAGTTACAGAGATTTGTTAAAAATGCACATTTTTGAAAAACACCTCGTAATTCATAAACGGTAACAGATATCGACGTGCGGTTTTCACCATCATGTTTTTGATAAAAATTGAGCTCCAGACACCGATATTAATTTTCGTCTATTTCCTATAGAAAACGGTGTTACTCTTTAAAAGCGTCCAATTTGACCCACCCTGTACAGCCTTGCCACCAAAAGTATCATTCTTACTGCTAACAAAACAGTATACTACTACTAACTGAGTTTTTTTGTAGTTATAAAAAATATCTGACAAAGAAAAAAAAATAATACACCAAAATAGCAGCGTAATTTTCTTTGACAAACTGCAATACCGCAATATAAAAAAAACTTTCCGTTCTCTATTATAAAGGTAATTGTCTGGAAGAATAATGTTAAAATAACGTTCCCGCGTCTAGTCTTGTGTAAAATGAGAATCAGATGAGTTTATAATAAAATTTACGACTCTGAGCTCATATTTTTCAAAAAGTTACTTTACGACTTTTATTGCGGCATAGACGAACTTTATTATACATGGTATCCCAGGCTGAGCTCCCATTAGAAGTTTCTAGACAATTAAACTAACTATATCGGAGCTTTTTTGGCCCACTTTTGTTTTACAATAAGTTCTCCCGATTAAAAATATTTTTTATTCTGAATAAAATGATATATCTTCTCGCTTAAAAAAATAGTATCTTAAATTTTAATCTACGGGGTGGTCCAAACTGTACTTCGGCAGCATATTCTGCAGACAGAAATAAGTAAAAAACTTCGTATAAATGTATATCCTAAAATATTTAGTTTCGGAGATACAGGGTGTAGAAGTTTCATTTTTATTTTGATTTTTTTCCAAATAATTTTTGAAGTAACGTCAATATTTAGATAAAATTGAAGTCTGGGGGTTTTTTGACAAGAGAAACTTGATTTTGATGTCAATATGACTCCTATTTGTAGGGGACGCCAACTACATGTGTTTTAACTGTTTTGAAGAGTAATCACTTTTCGACCGTACCTGTATAAAAATATTGAGTAAAAAAATATAGATTTGCGACGTTTTTTACGCAAAAAAGGTCTTTTGGAAACAATCGCTACGAGTAATGGTTCTCCAGATATTTGGAATCGAAATTATCAATACATCAGTGACATAAATTTAACATGTTGACTAAATAGTAGTGATGAATCACGCTTGATACCAAACTGACCTGGAACCGACATTTGGAAAATGTCACAAGGAGGGCGGTGACTACACTAGCGGTAGTCAGACGCCTTCATGGAAAAATCTGGGGCCTTAGACCACAGATGGTGCACTGGCTGTACACTGGAGTGGTGAGGCCTTCAGTAACATATGCATCCTTGGTATGGTGGCCTAAGGTAATGCAACAAACAACAATGCTCAGCCTCAGCAAGGTGCAAAGACTTGCTTGTCTGAGCATAACAGGGGCGATGAAATCAACGCCCACTGTATCAATGGAGGCGCTTCTGGACCTTCCGCCTCTTCACATAGCGATCCAGGCGGAGGCAAGAATGGGACTCTATCGACAACAAAGTGTCTTGTCTCTGGGAAATAGGACAGAAACAGGACACACAAAGATGGGAAATCCTATCGGGGGACCTCTACTCCAAATGAGATCGGACCAGATGACCCCTCTTTATCACTACCACAAACCATTCGAGGTGAACAAAATGGATCGAGGAATGTGGACAGATATAACATTCCTTCAGGATGGACTAACCTGGTATACAGACGGGTCAAAGACCGCTGAAGGAACAGGAGCTGGAGTATTTGGGGAAAGACCAAGGGTAAGTCTATCCTTTTCCTTGGGTAAACACTCAACCGTATTCCAGGCAGAAATCTTCGCCATTCTACAATGTGCGAGAAAAACAATAGAAGAGCTTATTCAGATAAGCTCATCAATATATGCTCAGACAGTCAGGCAGCATTTGGGGCGCTTATGAGCCCAAAGGTATCGTCGAGACTCGTCTGGGAATGCCTAGGTGAACTGGAAGCTCTGGCTCGACGGAACAGAATTAAGTTATTCTGGGTGCCGGGCCACAGCGGCATCCAAGGCAACGAAAAGCCGATGAGCTAGCTAGGCAAGGATCATCGGCATCTTATCTTGGTCCAGAGCCAGTACTGGGAATACCCAAATGTATGGCCCGTAGTGCATTAAAACTCTGGATCAGGGAAAAGCAGAATGTCCACTGGAGAAACAGACAGGGGCACAGGCACAGCAAGGCTTTTATCCAAGGACCTAGCTCCAAAACCGCAAAAGAACTGCTAATGCTTAGCAGGAATAAATTGCGGATTACAACAGGCCTCTTGACAGGACATATGGCTGTCAAGTGTTACCTGAACAAGCTCAATCTGTATCAAGGAAGTCTTTGCTGCAGACTCTGCGATAAAGATCCTGAAACAGCGGAGCACATAATATGTCACTGCGAGGCTCTGGATCGCAAGCGACACTTTTATTTGGGAAAGCTAGGCTAGAACCGGAGGAACTATGCTCCCATCCTATCAAGGACCTGCATAAGTTAGTGCAGGGCACAGGGATAGGAGAATGGGTGCAGATATAGAAAGGGGACAAACACAATAGACCTCACAGGTCGCAGTGTTTCCGGCAGAGGACGGCCCCTTATTGTGGGAAAAAAAAAATAGTAGTGATGTAAAATTTCCAGAAATATATTTTCGGAAATATTTCCCGAAACATTGGAAATATATGGAAATATTGGAAATATATGAAATATTTTAAGAAATAAGAAAAACTGAAATATTTATTTATCAAAATCATAACAAAACATCGCAAAACACAAAATGCTTATACATAAACACAAACAAAGAGGTATTCTTCAAATTAAAAAATAAATTAAGGTTAAATTTGTACAAAAAAAATATTTTTGACAGACTAGTCGAGCAAGAGGCATATCTTTATCGCTGTCATCGGCATCACACTCAATAACATCTTCTTGCCAGTCTACTTCCTCAAAATCTTGAAAAAATGGATCTATTGCCGTTTCCTATTTTCTTCAGCAAATTTTCATTGTGGGATACATAGAGTAGCTTAGCGGCTCTATCATTAGTAAGCCTGTTTCTCTTTTTTGAATGAATATGACTATAAACGCTAAAACTGCGTTCCGTGGCATCTGAAGATGCTGGCATCATCAACATTCGTGAAGCTACTTGTGATAATGAAGATGAAGAACACAGTCCTTTCCACCAGGAGACTGGGTTATCAAAACTACTTTTCCATATGAAGTTATTCATAGGATTATATCAAATGACTTAATCACCATTAAATCTTGGTGCGATTCGAACCTCCTGAGTCTCA